CAGCTAGCATTGAGTAACTCATCACACAGCTAGCATTGTGTAACTCTCATCACACACAGCTAGCGTTGTGTAACCCTCATCACACACAGCTAGCGTTGTGTAACTCTCATCACATACAGCTAGAGTTGTGTGACCATCATCACACACAGCTAGTATTGTGTAACCCTCATCACACACAGCTAGCGTTGTGTAACCCTCATCACACACAGCTAGCGTTGTGTAACCCTCATCACACACAGCTAGCATTGAGTAACTCTCATCACACACAGCTAGCATTGTGTAACTCTCATCACACACAGCTAGCGTTGGGTAACCCTCATCACACACAGCTAGCGTTGTGTGACCCTCATCACACACAGCTAGCGTTGTGTGACCCTCATCTCACACAGCTAGCGTTGTGTAACTCTCATCACACACAGCTAGCGTTGTGTAACCCTCATCACACACAGCTAGCATTGTGTGACCCTCATCACACACTGCTAGCATTGTGTAACCCTCATCACACACAGCTAGCGTTGTGTGACCCTCATCACACACAGCTAGCGTTGTGTAACCCTCATCACACACAGCTAGCGTTGTGTAACTCTCATCACACGCAGCTAGCATTGTGGAACTCTCATCACACACAGCTAGCATTGTGTAACTCTCATCACACACAGCTAGCATTGTGTAACTCTCATCACACACAGCTAGCATTGTGTAACTCTCATCACAGACAGCTAGCGTTGTGTAACCCTCATCACACACAGCTAGCATTGTGTGACCCTCATCACACACAGGTAGCGTTGTGTAACCCTCATCACACACAGCTAGCGTTGTGTAACCCTCATCACACACAGCTAGCATTGAGTAACTCTCATCACACACAGCTAGCATTGTGTAACTCTCATCACACACAGCTAGCGTTGTGTGACCCTCATCACACACAGGTAGCGTTGTGTAACCCTCATCACACACAGCTAGCGTTGTGTAACCCTCATCACACACAGCTAGCATTGAGTAACTCTCATCACACACAGCTAGCATTGTGTAACTCTCATCACACACAGCTAGCGTTGTGTAACCCTCATCACACACAGGTAGCGTTGTGTAACCCTCATCACACACAGCTAGCGTTGTGTAACTCTCATCACACACAGCTAGCGTTGTGTGACCATCATCACACACAGCTAGCGTTGTGTAGCTCTCATCACACACAGCTAGCGTTGTGTAACCCTCATCACACACAGCTAGCATTGTGTGACCCTCATCACACACAGCTAGCATTGTGTAACCCTCATGACACAGCTAGCATTGTGTAACCCTCATCACACACAGCTAGCGTTGTGTGACCCTCATCACACACAGCTAGCATTGTGTAACTCTCATCACACACAGCTAGCGTTGTGTAACTCTCATCACACACAGCTAGCATTGTGTAACTAATGTAACTCTCATCACACACAGCTCTCGTTGTGTAACTCTCATCACACACAGCTAGCGTTGTGTGACCCTCATCACACACAGCTAGCATTGTGCAACCCTCATCACACACACAGCTAGCGTTGTGTAACCCTCATCACACACAGCTAGCATTGAGTAACTCATCACACAGCTAACATTGTGTAACTCTCATCACACACAGCTAGCGTTGTGTAACCCTCATCACACACAGCTAGCGTTGTGTAACTCTCATCACATACAGCTAGAGTTGTGTGACCATCATCACACACAGCTAGCGTTGTGTAACCCTCATCACACACAGCTAGCGTTGTGTAACCCTCATCACACACAGCTAGCGTTGTGTAACCCTCATCACACACAGCTAGCATTGAGTAACTCTCATCACACACAGCTAGCATTGTGTAACTCTCATCACACACAGCTAGCGTTGGGTAACCCTCATCACACACAGCTAGCGTTGTGTGACCCTCATCACACACAGCTAGCGTTGTGTGACCCTCATCTCACACAGCTAGCGTTGTGTAACTCTCATCACACACAGCTAGCGTTGTGTAACCCTCATCACACACAGCTAGCATTGTGTGACCCTCATCACACACTGCTAGCATTGTGTAACCCTCATCACACACAGCTAGCGTTGTGTGACCCTCATCACACACAGCTAGCGTTGTGTAACCCTCATCACACACAGCTAGCGTTGTGTAACTCTCATCACACGCAGCTAGCATTGTGGAACTCTCATCACACACAGCTAGCATTGTGTAACTCTCATCACACACAGCTAGCATTGTGTAACTCTCATCACACACAGCTAGCATTGTGTAACTCTCATCACAGACAGCTAGCGTTGTGTAACCCTCATCACACACAGCTAGCGTTGTGTGACCCTCATCACACACAGGTAGCGTTGTGTAACCCTCATCACACACAGCTAGCGTTGTGTAACCCTCATCACACACAGCTAGCATTGAGTAACTCTCATCACACACAGCTAGCATTGTGTAACTCTCATCACACACAGCTAGCGTTGTGTAACCCTCATCACACACAGGTAGCGTTGTGTAACCCTCATCACACACAGCTAGCGTTGTGTAACTCTCATCACACACAGCTAGCGTTGTGTGACCATCATCACACACAGCTAGCGTTGTGTAACTATCATCACACACAGCTAGCGTTGTGTAACCCTCATCACACACAGCTAGCATTGTGTGACCCTCATCACACACAGCTAGCATTGTGTAACCCTCATGACACAGCTATCATTGTGTAACCCTCATCACACACAGCTTGCGTTGTGTGACCCTCATCACACACAGCTAGCATTGTGTAACTCTCATCACACACAGCTAGCGTTGTGTAACTCTCATCACACACAGCTTGCGTTGTGTAACTCTCATCACACACAGCTAGCATTGTTTAACTCTCATCACACACAGCTAGCGTTGTGTAACTCTCATCACACACAGCTCTCGTTGTGTAACCCTCATCACACACAGCTAGCGTTGTGTGACCCTCATCACACACAGCTAGCATTGTGTAACCCTCATCACACACACAGCTAGCGTTGTGTAACCCTCATCACACACAGCTAGCATTGAGTAACTCATCACACAGCTAGCATTGTGTAACTCTCATCACACACAGCTAGCGTTGTGTAACCCTCATCACACACAGCTAGCGTTGTGTAACTCTCATCACATACATCTAGAGGTGTGTGACCATCATCACACACAGCTAGTATTGTGTAACCCTCATCACACACAGCTAGCGTTGTGTAACCCTCATCACACACAGCTAGCGTTGTGTAACCCTCATCACACACAGCTAGCATTGAGTAACTCTCATCACACACAGCTAGCATTGTGTAACTCTCATCACACACAGCCAGCGTTGTGTAACCCTCATCACACACAGCTAGCGTTGTGTGACCCTCATCACACACAGCTAGCGTTGTGTAACTCTCATCACACACAGCTAGCATTTTTGTAACTCTCATCACACACAGCAGGCGTTGTGTAACTCTCATCACACACAGCTAGCTTTGTGTAACCCTCATCACACACAGCTAGCATTGTGTAACTCTCATTACACACAGCTAGCGTTGTGTAACCTTCAGCACACACAGCTAGCGTTGTGTAACTCTCATCACACACAGATAGCATTGTGTAACCCTCATCAAACACAGCTAGCGTTGTGTGACCCTCATCACACACAACTAGCGTTGTGTAACTCTCATCACACACAGCTAGCATTGTGTAACCCTCATCAAACACAGCTAGCGTTGTGTGACCCTCATCACACACAACTAGCGTTGTGTAACTCTCATCACACACAGCTAGTTTTCGTGAGTTTAAGTTTATTTGGTACACGGATGTTCCCATTTAGCCCATGGCCCGGCTACTTTCCATGAGAGATCCGTGGTGCGTGAGCACAGCTAAAGCAGCAACAAAGACAAAAACATCGACATTGCAGAGAACGCGTCCAGCGTCCTTCGATCGCCTCAACGACCTCCGACGAGCACGGTTGGCTACGTACGGTGCAAAATAAGTTGAGCATAAATGCATACAAGGAATGCCTCTTGGCACCTCGATCCGTGAGCCACGCGCGTGGCGGAGCGTGGCTCGCTCCATCATTCCGCCTGCGGTGACCGAGTTCCAAGCACAAGGTGTGAGATGCGTGACAGTCTGCCGCTCTGTGCAGACGACGCTCCGTAGGGGCGCCATGCGGTGGTGATGGCGGCTGCGTGGAGCCAACGCGCGGTGGAGCTGCAGATCTGGGTGTGCAGAGACCGCGACGGCTCCAGTCGCCTCGGCACGCCTCGCCGCCCCGGTGGCGCGGTCTCTCCCTCCACGCGCCACCCTCGCCAGCCACCGTCCGCGTGCCCCTCTGTCGGCCCACACGGCTGATTCCTCCCGGTGGGTTGTGAACGTCACAGCGGGGCTCTCTCTGTGTGGAGTTGAACTTCCGTGGCGATGGGGCCGCAGCAGCCGCCTGCTACCACCAAGTTCCTCCCGCACCGCGTGCGATCACGGAGCATGCTCGTGGCCGCAGAGCCACGCGGTCATTCGCAAACATTCCCCCCCGTCCCTTATTGAACACGTGTGCCGCGTGTCATTCACATTTCGCTTCGAACAGGGCCGCGTGCTCGATTGAGCAGGAAGCTACCTGACGTCCGCCTTTGTGACGTCGCGTGACGGTGGAGCGACTCTCGCATGACCTTCGTGGGTGAGCGTCCCTCGCGCGGCAGCCCTCGTCATCCTCGCGGCAGCCCTCGTCATCCTCGCCAGCGCTGCTGCTCGGCTCTGTGTTGAGATCCTCTGTATCGACGTGCCCCCCCCCCCCCCCCAGGTACCAATACCAGATATATTATTGTAACCATTCCCGAGTTTAAGTTACTGCACGCTCTAGGGGTAGGTACAATACGTGTCTTATTCAATAAAACATCGTGAAGATTCACAGCAATGTGTAATGCAACACACATTCCAACTGTTTGATCCACGCACGCACATGCTCGTTACCCGGCTGTTGCGTGCAGTTCCAGTTGCTGCTCAAGAATGGATCTCTCCCAGTTACTGCCCTCGGTCATCATCCCGACGTTCTACAGCGTCGCAGTCATCCTGGGCCTGCCTCTCAACCTGTTGGCTGTCTGCATTCTCGCCTCGAAAAAGAAAGACTCCATGTCCGTCTACATGGTTAACCTCGCCGCAGCAGACACGAGCTTCTTGCTGGTGTTGCCGATGAAGATCGTCTACCACTTGAAGGGAAACCATTGGTCTCTGCCGGGGTTCTTTTGCCGCGTCTACACCATGACGTTCTTCTCTACCCTCTACACCGCCACCATGTTGGTGGCCGCCATCAGCATGGATCGCTACTTGGCCATCGTGCACCCGCTCTGGGTCACCGGCTGGCGCAAGACCCGTACGGCGTGGATCGTGAGCGCGGTGATCTGGACTTTGGCGGTGAGCCACTCCGTTCCCTCCAACTTCGTCACCATATTAAGCGTCGCGAATGCCACCAATAACAGCAGCGACCCACCGAGAATTATATGTTACGAAGCGTTCACCAAGGAGGACCTCGACTTCCTCGTTCCCTTCAGATTGTTCCTCTTCGTCACGCTCTACTTCACCTCGCTGGTGGTGACGCTCTTCTCCTACGGGAATATCATTCGGGTTCTAGTCACGAGTCAGCAGTCGAACCAGGAGAAAAAGTCACGCGCCACGAAGATCACGGTCGTGAGCATCCTCATCTACGTCTTCTGCTTCTCGCCGTACAACGCCACGCACCTCGTTGCGTTTGCCTCGAGCAAAATGAGCAACTTCTCCTATCACGCCATCTCCATCCTCAGAGACATCACGCTCTGCCTCTGCTCGCTGAACAGCCTCTTCGACCCGCTCATCATCTACATCGCGTCGTCCGCATTCCGCTCGTCTGTCAAAAACATATTCAGCTGTCGGTTGACTGCCAACCAGGTGTCCTCCTCGAGCGTCTGAACCCGCCTGCTTTGTTGTTCAAACGGCACGCTCGGAGACGGTCACTCCAGCGACAGCTAGCGGACTCAAGCGAACGATCAACACAGCACGTCTGTGTGTCTATGTGTGTGTGTCTATTATTATTAGAACGCAATTTAAATGACGATATGGAATCTTCTGGAGTAAAAGTGTTGTGTGCATTATCCTTGAGAGTCAGGAGCGTGTTTCCCGAGGGGGCGATTCGGCCGGCAGACAACATCAAAGCATTCCACAATTACAGATTTACACAAAAAAACGTAATCATAATAACAGCAATCGTGTTGTCAAATGAGGTTCTAATTCAGACGGCACGGGCTAGGATCCGCGCAGCTGTCGTGCGTGTTCGTGCCCCGGTGGCCCGAGGCTTCCTGTGAATGTTGAATGCGGCGTGGTCGCCTTGGGGAATTCCCCAGGCGCACGCAGCTCGGCTGCCGAGTTCGCGTCACTCCGCAACACATGAGCGGAATAACAACAAAGACAAAGATCCCCCGTATCGCCTGCGCAGATTGTTGGGGCAAGTGCTGTTATTGAGTGGCACATATGAAGGTCGGCACGGCACATGAGGGGGTGGGTGGCCAGCGCCACGCTCGACCGCCTTTATCTCCCTAGTGGCGATGTTTACACAATGCACCGGTTACTCATTTGAGGCTGAGTCGACGTAGGGGAGGCTCAGGACCGGTTCAGATAATCGTCACTGGTGTTGGTCGTGAGTGGAAATGGAACTCGGGTCCCATGGTTCGTAGCGCAGTGCGCTAACCGCTACGCTGCCGCTCCCCACGCTAACACACAGACACACACACTAACACACACACTAACACACAAACTAACACACACACAGACACAACAACAGCCGCCATTCGCCACTAAGTGGCGGTGACGTCACCACTACGCTTGTGCCAGGCCATGTGCACCTTGAGGCCACGTGAAGTGTCGAACGCCCGCGGGCAGGAGGTCACGGGGCAGACCCAGGTGCCACAGGTCGACTGACTGAGATGACTGGCTAGTGCACCACCTGTGCCCCCTACTGTACCAATCTGCTGTGCTTTAGCCACCCGGCGCTCCGCTCTTTGATGTGAGCGTCGCTCCTCCGCCCTCTGTTGTTGTTGGAGGGCGACTGCCTCCAACTGCCCAATAGCGTCCTTCACAATCCTCCTCCACAGAGGCCGATCTTGACACTGCTGGTACCAGTCATCGGCAAGTGAACTCAGCTCCACGTCCTCCTGTACCACATCACTCCATCTCTTCTCTAGCCCATGCCGCGCCTGTTTAGCCCCCTCGATCCGGCCGAACAAAAGCTGTTTCGGCATGTGGTGGCTGGGCATGCGGGCTACATGACCCAGCCAACGCAGCCTTGCCTGCCGGAGGAGCTCATCGATGGGACCTTGCCCAGATCTTTCAAGGATTTGTGAGCTCCTCACACAATCCAGCCTGCTTAAACCCAGGATGGTTCGTAGACAGGCTAGCCTAAATGTTTCTAACCGGCGAAGATGTTCCATTAGGGGGGTCTACGTTTCGCAAGCGTAGAGAAGGGAGGAAATGACCGTGGCCGAGAAGACCTGAAGCTTAGTGCGGAGCGACAGACCAGGTAGCTTCCACACAGCGCTACGCAACCGATGAAAAGATATTGCCGTTAGTTTTGGTGGGGCTGATGGTAAGGCCCCATCTCTTAGTGGCACGCTCCAGTCTCAGCAGCAGCGTCTCCAACTCCTCCTCTGAATGAGCAGCTATTACCAAATCATCGGCATACATAACGTGGTTGAGCAATAGGGAGCCATCCCTTGACCGCGCCCGGGCATCGATCAGCCTCCCATTATATCTGTACCAAATGGAGATTCCCCCGGTACAGCTATTGAAGGCGTCACGAACTACGTGGTCAAAATAGATGTTAATAATGTGGGAGCCAGAGGACATCCCTGTCGCACCCCAAGGTGTACAGGGAATGGCTCTGACTCCCGGCCACGTAGTTTTACCCGGGCCCGCTCACCATCATGAAGGTCCTTAATGAGCGGGTCAGGGACTCCCAAAGCACGAAGAACAACCCAGGGCCCAGGCCTACTGATGGTATCATAGGCCTTGACCAGGTCAATAAAGCAGAGATGTAGGTCTTGTTGGAATTCTCTACACCTCTGCTGTAGCAGACAGACAGAAAATATGGCATCTGTGCATGACCGCCCTTTCCTGAAACCGCATTGGGGCGATGTTGAATAATCCTTGCCAGGACCTTTCCCGGCACACTGAGGCGTGAGATGCCCCTGTAGTTGTTACAGTCCGTGCGGTCCCGCTTCTTAAATCCTGCGGAACCCGTCCAGTGGTCCAGACTGTTGTTATGATGTCATATAGGGCAGTCTGTGCACAAACGCCACGCACACTAACACACACAGACACACACACTGACACACAGACACACACACAGACACAACAACAGCCGCCATTCGCCACTAAGTGGTGGTGACGTCACCACTACGCTTGTGCCAGGCCATGTGCACCTTGAGGCCACGTGAAGTGTCGAACGCCCGCGGGCAGGAGGTCACGGGGCAGACCCAGGTGCCACAGGTCGACTGACTGAGATGACTGGCTGATACACCGCCTGTGCCCCCTACTGTACCAATCTGCTGTGCTTTAGCCACCCGGCGCTCCGCTCTTTGATGTGAGCGTCGCTCCTCCGCCCTCTGTTGTTGTTGGAGGGCGACTGCCTCCAACTGCCCAATAGCGTCCTTCACAATCCTCCTCCACAGAGGCCGATCTTGACACTGCTGGTACCAGTCATCGGCAAGTGAACTCAGCTCCACGTCCTCCTGTACCACATCACTCCATCTCTTCTCTAGCCCATGCCGCGCCTGTTTAGCCCCCTCGATCCGGCCGAACAAAAGCTGTTTCGGCATGTGGTGGCTGGGCATGCGGGCTACATGACCCAGCCAACGCAGCCTTGCCTGCCGGAGGAGCTCATCGATGGGACCTTGCCCAGATCTTTCAAGGATTTGTGAGCTCCTCACACAATCCAGCCTGCTTAAACCCAGGATGGTTCGTAGACAGGCTAGCCTAAATGTTTCTAACCGGCGAAGATGTTCCATTAGGGGGGTCTACGTTTCGCAAGCGTAGAGAAGGGAGGGAATGACCGTGGCCGAGAAGACCTGAAGCTTAGTGCGGAGCGACAGACCAGGTAGCTTCCACACAGCGCTACGCAACCGATGAAAAGATATTGCCGTTAGTTTTGGTGGGGCTGATGGTAAGGCCCCATCTCTTAGTGGCACGCTCCAGTCTCAGCAGCAGCGTCTCCAACTCCTCCTCTGAATGAGCAGCTATTACCAAATCATCGGCATACATAACGTGGTTGAGCAATAGGGAGCCATCCCTTGACCGCGCCCGGGCATCGATCAGCCTCCCATTATATCTGTACCAAATGGAGATTCCCCCGGTACAGCTATTGAAGGCGTCACGAACTACGTGGTCAAAATAGATGTTAATAATGTGGGAGCCAGAGGACATCCCTGTCGCACCCCAAGGTGTACAGGGAATGGCTCTGACTCCCGGCCACATAGTTTTACCCGGGCCCGCTCACCATCATGAAGGTCCTTAATGAGCGGGTCAGGGACTCCCAAAGCACGAAGAACAACCCAGGGCCCAGGCCTACTGATGGTATCATAGGCCTTGACCAGGTCAATAAAGCAGAGATGTAGGTCTTGTTGGAATTCTCTACACCTCTGCTGTAGCAGACGGACAGAAAATATGGCATCTGTGCATGACCGCCCTTTCCTGAAACCGCATTGGGGCGATGTTGAATAATCCTTGCCAGGACCTTTCCCGGCACACTGAGGCGTGAGATGCCCCTGTAGTTGTTACAGTCCGTGCGGTCCCGCTTCTTAAATCCTGCGGAACCCGTCCAGTGGTCCAGACTGTTGTTATGATGTCATATAGGGCAGTCTGTGCACAAACGCCACGCACACTAACACACACAGACACACACACTGACACACAGACACACACACACAACAACAACAACCGCCATTCGCCACTAAGTGGCGGTGACATCACCACTACACTTGTGCCAGGCTATGTGCACCCTGAGGCCACGTGAAGTGTCGAACGCCCGCTGGCAGGAGGTCACGGGGCAGACCCAGGTGCCACGGGTCGACTGACTGAGATGACTGGCTGATACACCGCGAGTGCCCCCTGCTGTGCCAACCTGCTGTGCTTTAGCCACCCGGCGCTCCGCTCATTGTTCTGAGCGTCGCTCCTCCGCCCTCCGTTGTTGTTGGAGGGCGACTACCTCCAACTGCCCAGTAGCAACCTTCACGAGCCTCCTCCACAGAGGCCGATCTTGACACCGCTGGTACCAGTCATCGGCAAGTCCACTCAGCTCCACGTCCTCCTGTACTACATCACTCCAGCTCTTCTCTAGCCCGTGCCGCACCCGCTTAGCCCCCTCAATCCGGCCGAACAAAAGCTGTTTCGGCATGCGGTGGCTGGGCATGCGGGCTACATGACCCAGCCATCGCAGCCTTGCCCGCCGGAGGAGCTCACCGATGGGACATTGCCCAGATCTTTCAAGGATTTGTGAGCTCCTCACACAATCCAGTCTGGTTAAACCCAGGATGGATCGTAGGCAGGCCAGCCTAAATGTTTCTAACCGGCGAAGATGTTCCATAAGGGGGGTCCACATTTCGCAAGCGTAGAGAAGGGAGGGAATGACCGTGGCCGAGAAGACCTGAAGCTTAGTGCGGAGCGACAGACCAGGTAGCTTCCACACAGCGTTACGCAACCGATGAAAAGATATTGCCGCTCGACTGATTCGGAGTGAGACCTCTGCTGTTAAACTGGAGCCAGTCATAAGCATACTGCCCAGGTATGGGAAACTCTCCACTCTCTCCACAACTGCCCCATCACCGATTGGGAGTTGTGGGGGTGGAGTGTCCGATGGTACAAAATACCCAGGCAGGTGCT